TGCTTAATTGTCTACTTGTGCTCCCCCCCCAAAAAAAAATTCTTCATTTTCCTATTTTACTAGCAGTTATCCAGACTCACCGAACCTGTTAAAATTTCTATAAAGTATCCTTATCAACTGGGTGTCTTTCATAGCACCATTTCCCCAAATAGCACTAAACTAATAGATCCTTTTCCTTTTATAGGTTTCTATAAACTTTGGACCCTACTTCAAATATCCACCAAGAGATATCAGTTACCGCCCGGTAAGTAGGAATGTGAGAATGATTTTGACATGTGACTTTCTTGGGCAATGGAAACTTCAAGTCTTTGTGTGTTGAGAGTCTAAGATTCTGTGTGTTCAAAAAAAATAAAAATCCCCAGATTCACTGACCCAGAAACCTAAATTTCAACAGTAGGAGTAAAATATGTGAATTAGACCAAGGATGTTGCCAGATTCTGCAGCCAATAACTCACTCAGCCATGCAGAATTCCTGTATGTACATAAAGATGCAGTCATGCTCAGAGTAGACCCATGGAAATGTATTGCTAAGGTAGGCCTATTCATTTCAGTGAGTTTTGCTCTGAGTAAATGTTAGTTGGATACAATCCATGCTGCATTGCACTTCAGAAACACTGAGCAAAATAAGCTCTGGATTATGATTGAATTGCCACCTTAAAAGAAGCACAGATTAGGTGTTACACTCCAGGTCAGCTCATCCCTTGACCCCAAAGAGTGTGTGTTTGTGACAGGCAGTTTTCATTGTAGGGTTAGGTCCCTCCTTGTGTTACTGGACCACAGCTCTCATTGTCCCTGACTGCTCTGGCCAACGGGAGTTGGGAGTCCAGAAAAATCTGGATTCTCAATGCTTGTTTTAGAGGAACACTCCTTGGATTCCGATTGTTTTAAGAATCCGATTTCAGTTACTACCTGACAGGGGGGAAAGTTTGGGCTTTGCCAGGGTAGGTGTGCAACAGTGGGTGGCCCTCCCATCAGCTGCTGCCAGCATAACCCATTCATCGAGAAATGATGGAAGTCGCAAGATCTGCAGGGCCACATGTTCTTTGCACCTGATACACAAACCTGGAGCATGCAGGCCAAAATACTACTCATGTCCATTATTCTTTCCAATCCCCATTGCAACAGGCCTGTTTCTCAGTCGTGGGAGCCTCTTGCCCACAGAGCCTCCATTTTCCTGGCATCCAAACTCAATATTTTTTGCCCTCTCCCAGCCAATTTCTGCATCTAGACCCTGGTCCAGGCCCTCCAGGGCCAATTCTGATGGAGATGCTGCGGCAGAAAAATAGAGCTGATAGTCACCAGATGGTCCTTTGCCCCAGTTCTTCTGCTGATCACTTCTAGTGCCTTCATACAGATACTATATAGCATTGGAAATGGATGGCCCATTGGTCTTCTGCTGCTGCTTTTTTATCATCTGTAGTTTCACTTTCACCAGAACGTTTGGTTAATTAGATGTCGTTGATGTGCAAGCCGCATTAGATGCTTAATTAACGGAAAGGCAGAATTTAAAAGTTCAAAATAAACTATGGATGGGGAAGCTGTGGCCCTTCAGACATTTGATTTCAACTTCCATCGAGTTTCAGCCAACATGGCTAATGGTCAGGGATGGTTGGAGTTGTAATGCAACAAGACAGGTCCCCTGAGATAGCTGACTTCTTCTCTTCCCACCCCCTTCCTTTCTCCACAGATCAGTGACATGGGCTGGGTCGCTGTGGTGGAACACACACTGGCAGATGTCCTCTACCATGTAGAAACAGAAGTTGACGGGAGGCGCAGTCCACCTTGGGAACCTTGAAAGACATTGTATATATTGGGTTTTTTTTGTTTTGTTTTTACAAAAACATAAACGGTATCACTTGATGTAAAGTGGAAAAGAAATAAATTTTGGTTTGTTTTTTTAAAAAAATTCTGGACTAATTGCCGCTCTCTAAAACCTCCAGTGGAATGCTGGCTGGAAAATGGGGAGGGGAGATGGAGTATCCTGAAAAGGGACATAGCTGGCTGGTGGGAATCTTGAAGAGGAGCAGCACACATGGCAAGGCTTGGGTACGAGTCCCAGTTGTAGTGGGCAGTAGAGGGGTCCCGTTTATCAGACGTGGATGCATGCTTCAGTCAGAACAACAGCGGTTTGCTCAGACATAAATTCCTGAGCTGCAAAGTGAAGTCGCAGTAGAGAGGAAAGGAGGAGGAGGAACTTGTATGGTTTTAATACTAGACTCTTGAATGCTGAGAATCCCTGCTGAGAACCTGAGGGTCCTGCTCCTGCCTCCCTCCACCAGGCCTAGTGTGGGGCCTGACAGGCTACAAAAGGACTGCTGCTGCCCAGCAGAGCATTCTGTTTACATTCCTTTAAGCTGCTTTTTAATTGTGCTTTTTATTTTAAATTGTTTTAAACTGTTTTTGCGTGTGTGTGCTTCGGCGGGGTGTGTGTGTTATTTGGCTGTTTCTGTTTATATTTTGATTATGTATTTTGTGTTTTTATGTTGTAATTTTGTCTTGTGAACCACCCTGAGACCTGCGGGTATAGGGTGGCATATAAATTTAATTAATAATAATAACACAAGCTGTAGGGACGCGGGTGGCGCTGTGGGTAAAAGCCTCAGCGCCTAGGGCTTGCCGATCGTCAGGTCGGCGGTTCGAATCCCCGCGGCGGGGTGAGCTCCCGTTGCTTGGTCCCAGCGCCTGCCAACCTAGCAGTTCGAAAGCACCCTCGGGTGCAAGTAGATAAATAGGGACCGCTTACTAGCGGGAAGGTAAACGGCGTTTTCCGTGTGCTGCGCTGGCTCGCCAGATGCAGCTTTGTCACGCTGGCCACATGACCCGGAAGTGTCTCCGGACAGCGCTGGCCCCCGGCCTATAGAGTGAGCTGGGCGCACAACCCCAGAGTCTGGCAAGACTGGCCCATACGGGCAGGGGTACCTTTACCTTTACCTTTTTAACACAAGCTGTACAGTATGAACTAGCAGATAACATTTGAGAGAGGTTGCTGTAAAACAAGTTTTTTCACTCTGGCACAATATGCACTTTTACAAATGTTTAATTCTCTTCCCTTTTACCACTGAAGTGTCATGGAGATGGCATTCTTTGCTTGCGTTGGGAGATTAGGAGCTGTCTGACACCATGTACTCCCAAGTATTGCCCATTCCATAATGCTTCTCCAGGAACTCTGGCAGAGGTCTTGCCCATTGCCTTCTTAGCTTACTGTTCTTTTAACTAGAGGGTCAGGGTTAGTTCCTCTCCAAACTGCTACCCTCCAGGTGCTGTGGACAACAGCTCCCTTCGGTCTGGCCATCGGTCCTGGCAGCTCGGGTGATGTAGTTTAGAACATCTGGAGGGTGGCAGGTTGGGAAAGCGTGCGCTAGGGATGAACCTGCAAAGTGAAAGTGCCCTGCCACTGAGCTTTGGACCCAGATGGTACATTGGCCATCCACCTTCAGAAGCTGCAAGCTGTAGAACAGGGATGAGGAACCTGTGGCTCTTCAGCTGTCATTGGACTCCAGAGCCCATCTTCCATAGCAGTTGTCCATGCTGCCAGGGGCTGATGGGAACTGGAGTCCAGTAACATCTGGTTGGTCACAGATTCCTGTAGCATACAAAATAAAATTCCTTTATCCTTCTCTGTCCTAATCCACTGACTGGGTCATCCCTGAGTCAGGGGCAGACCTTTTCAGTTACATGAGCTTCAAAAGTCTTAATCATGTAGGCAAAAAAAGAGAGCAGTGACATGGAACATTTTAAATCATACTCCATTTTTATTTTCAGAAGTACATAAACTTTGAGCACAGTTTTCTGCTACTCTTGTTAAATACATTTTTTAATGTCTCAGATCAAAGAAGCTGTTATTCATTTTCACCTGGCATTAGTGTCTAAACACACAAAATCTTCACACTGCACCATCTGCCAGTCTTTGAAAAGATGTTAACCAAGAATGCAAGAGTAAAACAGAACAGGCTTTTCATGTTTAACATACCTGACTTGAATAAATATTAAATAAACACTTTGTCCAACTGCAAACAAGGGAGGAAGATACCTACGGTTTTTTAAAAAACAACAGGTGATTATGAGTAATGGAATGTTCAAGGGTTCTGGTAGCTGAAATAGTAAAATCTATTGTGAAGCTGGCTAATGTGCCAACGCCAAGCCTGAGGTCAGACTTTGGGGATCACAGATTCACCAAGTGAGTTTAGGAGCGTACCTATCTTATTTTAAGCCTAACAGCAAACAATATGGAATAATATTTGCATTGAAACTAATTTGTTTTTAAAGTAACTCTCATCGACCAGGGTGAGGCTGCTAGTTACTGAGGTGTGTGTGTGTGTGTGTGTGTGTGTTTGTTTTAACTGCTCGCCTGCTATGGTCCTGAAGAATATAGTAAGCTGCCTTATGCTGAACCGGACACTTGGTCCCTCTTAGCTCCATATTGTCAACACTGACTGGCAACAGCTCTCCAGGATTTCAGACAGTAGTCTCTCCAGCTGGAGATTAGATGTAGAACTATCTGCATGTAAAGCAAATGCTGTCCTACTGAGCTTATTGCTCTTCCCCTAAAACGCAAGGGGTTGAATACAGTGCAGTCAACCAAAGCTCGTATATGTGGACAGGGAGGGAGAGAAGGAGGAAAGGCCTTGGCCAGAGAGCCAAGAGACTGGTGGGGAAACGAGGATGCTACAAATGCACTAATTTTATTCAGCAGGGTCTTGCTCTGTGGTGATCGTGGCTTTTAAGCTACAAAGGATGGTTAGCAGTTAGTCACTTGGTTTTAATGCATGGCCTGCTGTTATGGACATTAAACAAAACAAGCGCCTTGCTACCAAGCCCACTAAGATGAAGGGTGAGTTCAGACTGCATTGATCTACAATGGTACCTCGGATTAAGTACTTAATTCGTTCCGGAGGTCCGTTCTTAACCTGAAACTGTTCTTCACCTGAGGTACCACTTTAGCTAATGGGGCCTCCTGCTGCCACCATGCCGCCGAAGCACGATTTCTGTTCTCATCCTGAAGCAAAGTTCTTAACCTGAGGTACTTTCTGGGTTAGCGGAGTCTGTAACCTGAAGCTGCTGTAACCCACGGTACCACTGTACTTGCGTGTTGGACATAGGTTACAGCCAGCATTGTTTGGCTCATGCCCATGACCCATCCTTGGAGATACTTTGCCCTGCTGTTCATGGTTGCTGGTGCTGCCTTTTCCCCTGTGAGAAAGCAGCAACCTCTGTAGGCCTTGTTCTGGTGCAGAAGGGCCTTCCGGGGGGGGGACACATGCAGAGACGGGGAGAACATCTTGCACCAGGTTCCCCTGGAAACCTGGAACAGGCACTGGCTCTTTTCTGATCCCATGTACAAAGGCTTTCCGATAGGCTGTCACTATGGGCACAATACTTAAGAGTTCGGAACATAGGCAGCTAAGATGGAGTTCCGACTCCACTGTTGGCGGGAGCTTGCCTCTGAATGCCAGCTTCTGGGAACTGCAAGTATGGAGAGTGCTTTTGTGCTGAGCTCCTGCTTGCGGGCTTCCCAGGGGCATCTGCCTCGCCGCCATGCCAGCAGGATCCTACACCTAGATGGGTCTTTGGCCTGCTCCAGGAGGGCTTTCCTTACGCCCTTCCATTGCACAGTAAGCCGGATCACTTGTCCAACTAGCCTAGCCTTCCTTCCTCCCGCTGGCAGCGCTTCTCTGAGATCTTGGGCAGAGGTCTTCCATGTCACCTGCTCCCTGAGCCTTTCTCGTTTAGTTGGCAGGTCCAGGGACAGTGCAGGAGGCCTTCTGCATGCAAGGCAGCAGCTGTGCCACCCAGCTGAGGTTCCCTCAACCAGTCAGTTCAGCAGAGGCCAGCTGAGTGTAAAATAGGAGGTGTTGCATAACACAGATTCACAAGCTGGCCCAAGCAGACTGATTCTAAATCAGGCATGGAGAAGCAGTGCAGTGCAGTGGGCAGAGCACTGCCAGATTAGGCTGCAGACACCCTGCTTCAAATCTCATGCAGTTCTGAGACACTCTGGTGGACCTCGGGCCAACTGCTACCTCTTGGGGTTTCTCCAGGCTGTTACTATTTTGTAGGAGGGATTCAAGTGCACACCTGGAAGTTTAGGCTTGTTCCAATGAAGTGGATTAAATGAGGATGAATGCTGACTCTCACCACTCCATAAACAAGTCTAGAGGAATCCTTGGTAAACTTTGTGCAAGCAAATCAATAAAGGCAGCAATGGAGGAGTCCTTACTCAAGCCTAACCCACCATTTATTAGGAGGGGGGAAAGGGGGGAACATGCATACCCCATGTTCCTGGAACAAAAGGGTGGGACAATAAATGCACTAAATTAAAATATAAATGGCACTAAATTCTACTGGTTTTTAAAAAGTAAGATCATAGCTTAAGTTGTTCTGTGAGCTCAATTAACTTGGCTCTGTTTTCGGGTATTTCAGATACACCATTCAAAAGGAAACCTCTAACAAACCCGGGGCTGCAAAATCTAGTCCTGTACTTTGTCATCAAAGGATCAGTGAAGCAAGCAGCTAGGATGAATTTTTCTGCTGTTCAATCCTTTGAACTGGGGGTGGGGGGGGTGCCACCTTCAGCCCATCTGCCTAATTTCAAAAGATTTCTGAAAGCAATCATTTTGAACCTCTGAGAAGAGTCATTTGTCCCTCCCCCTGCAAGCTTAAGAGAGAGATCACAGCTACGCCATATACTCTCTTATACCACTTTTATACTCAGGGAGAATCCTGGGAGCTGTAGTTGTTCCAAGGGTGATGGGAATTCTAGTTCTGTGAGATCAGCACCCTTAATCAAGCACAGTTCCCAGGATTCTTTGGGGGAAGCCATGACAACGAAAACGGCGTAAGTGCTTCAATGTATGGTGTGGATGCGAGAAAAGAGAGGGGGGGTGAAATGAAGGAGGGAGACAAAGGTGTGGCCTACTCTGCCTTTTGGCTATGGCAATGACCACTGCTGAAATGTGACCCACAACAGACCACCCCTGAGAACAACAACCACCAAGAAGATTTCCCACTCTTGCTTTGGGGAGAGGATAAAAAAAGCTGCCTCAGAGGAGCAGGCAGGAAGCTTGTTCTATTGGCAGGAAAGATGGATGTCCCTGTACCCATTTTCTGGAGCAGGAGCCTCAGCTGCCAGGGAAAGAGCCTTGAGCGAGTGGTCCATGAGCCGGGAAAGGGATTCATCAGCCACAAGGAGTGTGTTGCGTGTGTGCGGCCACTTCAACAGCGCACGGCCTGCTGCATGGAGGCAGAATTGCTGCTCAAATGGTTGCGCAGATGCTTAGCGAAATCCACCTGGGTTTGAGAGAGGACTTGGTTGATGAGGGACTTGGGCAGCCATCCCTGGGAGAGAAGGGGGGAAAGAGCAACATCATTATGTGTTCAACTTAAAGGGTTAATTCTGTGAAGGTCTCCCTTCTATGCACAAGGTCTGAAGTAATAAAAAAGAGGCAAAACCTCTCTGTTCATTCCCCCCCCTGCCCCGCCCTCAGTTCTCCTCAGTAAAGTGGTATCAGGATTTATTTTTCTTTCTGGACTCTGCGGGCTCAGCCCCTTTTACACTTGTTCTGCTTCTCCTTCTGCTTGTCTGCACTGCCTAGGCATGGGTCCAAGAGGTTTTCCCATGGTTTGCCATAAGCATCCATCCACAGGAAGCCCAATTCAGCAGCAAATAGCGGGTTTTCGCAGGAAAAGTGGCTGAGCAAACGAAAATCCTCTTGGAACCAGGCCTAGAAAGCACATACAAGCAGAAGTGTGGACAAACCCTCAGAGCAGTTTTACAGTCTATCTCTCTTCCCAGGGAACTTTGGGAATAATAGCCCTGTGAGGGGGGTGTTGGTCTCCTAACAACTCTCAGCACCCCTAACAAACTACAGCTCCCAGGATTCATTGGGGGAAGCCATGACTGTTAAAGTGGTATCATTGTGCTTTAAATGTAAGTAAAGGTAAAGGGACCTCTGACCATTAGGTCCAGTCGTGACTGACTCTCGGATTGCGGCGCTCATCTCACTTTATTGGCCGAGGGAGCTGGCGTACAGCTTCCGGATCAAGTGGCCAGCATGACTAAGCCACTTCTGGCGAACCAGAGCAGCGCATGGAAACACCGTTTAACTTCCTATTTATCTGCTTGCACTTTGACGTGCTTTCGAACTGCTAGGTTGGCAGGAGCAGGGACCGAGCAACGGGAGCTCACCCCGTCACGGGGATTCGAACCGCCGACCTTCTGATCGACAAGTCCTAGGCTCTGTGGTTTAACCCATAGCGCCACCCACGTCCCTTTAAATGTATTAAATGCTTTAAATGTATGCAGCCACAATTCATCTTATCATCAAATGATGGAGAGTGGTAGGGGGAAAATGCAGGAGGAATCCTTGGCACAGCGCTATGTATCTTCTTGCACAGTTCATCTAACTGAAAAATACCCTCTCAAGAGCCCCAGAAAGTGGGTCCCTCTTAGTGACACCTGAGATGACTCCCTGCAGAGTTGAATGCACAGCTGTTTATGAAAGTTGCACCACCCAAATCATGGCAAGAGGATGATCTCTGGCAAAACCAATGGATGCAGTGATTTAGCTCAGTCCACCGTGTGCCTGTACCTTGAGGTCGATGCTGAGAAGCCAGGTTAACTTGGTCTGGGAGGGGTCACCAAGGAGAGGCCGAAGAACCATACATGTGGGGCCATTCTCAGCTCTGTGGGAGGACAGGAGAGCATCATGTTAGCATATTATACAAAAAACTGAGTACCCCCAAATTCAATCAAGGAGAAAGCAATCGAGAGGGGGACGACTCTTTACCTAATAACCCCTTTCTGTTCAGGCATCGCTGCATAGGTGGTGGACATGCCAGCCAGGACACAGGTTGAGCCTCTCCTCTTGGAACAACGGACACTCACAAAGTCTCGTGGCCCAACTATGTTGCCAGGGGTTGGAGCTGCAGTTTCGTGAGTGATCACCGTGTCGTTGCCGATCTTCTGCAAGATCTGGAGAAAGATCGCCAATGAAAACAAAGGGTTGTCATTTTTCATACAGGGATATTTACTGCACCTCCTTGCTGGTAGCTGATGCAATTCCTGCTATGGCCGACAAATTCCTTTCCTGCCTCACTTTTGGAAGGAGCGCAGTGCTGATTACTTTGGGGAAGGGAGAGACAAGAGGCAGAAGGAGACTCCCTTTGTTCCTAACATGTGATCGGTGCTACCAACATGGGCAGGAAGCACACAGTGTAAAGGTCACCAGCCACAGCCGGCTGCGTAATGGTGGCCCACAAGATTTGGCAATGACATCAGCTTGGATGGCCTTAAAAGCAGTTTTGATAAGTTCATGGAAGATAAGGCTTTTAAGGCTACTAACCATGGTGACTAGGTTCTGCCTCCAGTGGGAATCATGAGGGGGCCCTTCTTCTGTCCTTTGAAGGAGGGAGCAGGAGGGAGCCAATTCCCCATGAGCCTGTGTGGCCTACGAGCCTTACAATGGAGATACCCCACAAATACCATAATGCACCCATGTCTGCACGATTACAGATCTGAGACGCTTAACACAAGAGTCTAAAACTGGCCAGCAGAGCTGCCCAAACACCTCATTAATGCTCATGTTTTACAGGTGTGGAACACTGAGATCAAGACATTGGTTAGCTATGCTGAGATTTGTTTTAAAGACTTGTGATTTTAATTTGTTGCCGTTGCACCACAAGAAGCAAGCAACGCTTGGTGATTTACTGTGAATCATCCAGGGATCTTTCAGTAGATCCCAGTCTTTCTTCAGACCATCCCAGCTCTACAATATACTTTTCTACTAATAGCGGTGCAAAAAATCACTGATCAGGCAAAGCAATGTGCTTTACAACTCGTTGCAGAGTTGAATGCGTAAGCCATTGGCACAGTCTCCTTTCGCCAAGAATGCGTTTCTGTGTGTGTTTACCTTGACTTCTTTGACATTCGGGTTCCAGTCTCCCATCTGCTCCATCCTTTCCACTAACTCGCTATAGACACAGTCCAGGGGTTTATCAACCACCACCTCTAGTCGGAATACTTTCCCCACATCTGGGAGTACTTTGCTCAGGACTTTGTCACCATTGGCCTGCAGAAAAAAGCAGAAGGGGGTCTAAATTGTTAGCATCGCTGGCTTGCATAACCCAAAGCACGAGAGCTAAGCCCATTATTAGGTAGTATGTTGCATCCAGCCCAATTCCCAGGTGATAACCTCACAACAGGGCTTTTCCAATGTGCTCTGTATGGGGCTGGCCTTGAAGCTACAACCAGAATGTGCTAGCCAGGGGGATGGCTAATCTTAGAAAAGGGCCATAGCTCAGAGGTAGAGCACATGCTTTGCAGGCAAAAGGACCCAAGTTCAAGCTCTAGGTAAGGCTTGTCTGAAATCCTGGAGAGCTACCACCAGTTGGTGTGTGGACCAGGGATGGGGAACCCTGATGTCCTGCAGATGTTAGACTCCAACTCCCATCAGCCCCAGCCAGCAGGACCAATAGTCAGGAGTGATGGGAGCTGAAGTCCAGCAGCATCTGGAGCACACCATGTTTGACTATGCCTGAATCAATGGATTAGGGTCTATAAAAGTTGCATCAGTAGGGCCACAATATTTGCTCTTTTCTTAGGGTGAAAAGATGCAGGTGGGGTGGAAGAGTGAGCAGCATGAAGAAAATTAGGTCCATTTCGATGCAAAATAATGATTTACCACTAGAAGGACCAGCTGCAATAAGCCACAGGTTTGCATAATAAGCTTTTTTTTCTTTTACACTTGTGAGAAGATCAGAAGGAACCCTTTCCAGCTTTATATTCACCACAGTTCCTCCTAACATCCAAACTCAGAAAACAGTTGTTTGTTTAAACGTGAACCATGGAAAAGGAAGAAGGGAAGTCATTGATATCTTAAGGATGTAAAATGTGTATTTGAAATTGTAAAACAGAAAACTTAATAAAAACTATTTAAAAAAATAAAAGATACCTTGGTTTGTGAATTTGAATTTGAATTGTGAATTTGAAATGATATTTTGACCCTAACTAAAATTCAGCTCTCCATCTGAAGGCTGCAAAGTTGGCGACCCCAGCTGACATCTTCCCTGACCCTTTGCAAGCAAAGTAGAAGGGAACGCCAAACAACAACCCCCATGAACAATGCAACATGCCTACCATCACTGTCTCTGTTTTCCAGCCCTCCTGCTCTCCAAGAATTTTAAGTGATTTCTGAAGCGCCTCATCTCCTTGCTTGATGTAGGACATCTCCGTTTCATTGAAGAGATTCTCTTCCAGTCTAGAACCTGTTGGAGGTTGGAGCAGGTTTTAATTTAATTTTATTTTTATTTAAAAAAAGAAAGAAAGCTTGTATTTTCAATGCCACCAAAAATCCAGCAGCCTCAAAATGCAAGGATAAAACATGCCCAACAAGAGCTGTGCCTCGTTATACGTACTTAGCAAAGAGCTCCTTCTGCGCACATTATTGATCCACTTGCTGGGACCAGGCCTGGTAACTGCAAATTTATTCAGCTCCTGGACAATCGCAGCAGCTGCTTGTCTCTTCAAGCCTGAGGAGAGGAAAGCATAACAGTGGTATTAAAAGCCATATCTGAACCCGTAGAAGCAGGCCCTTTGAGGTCCAGAGAGGCCTGGGATACTTCCAGCTTTTGAGGTTCCTAACCATCATTAAAAAACAACAACACAGACAACACAGGAAAATAAAATAAAGCCCCCAAAAGAGTGAGCTGATCTGAGAGGACATGCTCAACACAGTCTACTCTTGTGCCACCAGAACCAATATATTTTTATGAATATTTATGAATATTTTAAACTCTTTAGTGTGACAAGATTTGGACAGTTAACACACAAAGAGAGAAATCTTTTACTAAGTCTAATCTCTTACTTGCTTAAATCTGCAGCTGTAAACTGAGGGCTGTAAATTGAACTGATGCACATACAGTAAAAACAAGTTGTGAAACTTATCAGATGCCGAAAAATTAACAAGTGTACAGATTTGAGCCCTTTGAACTTGACTGCCCTTCCACCCACCCCAGTTAGTCCTGAAGAGAATGACTGCCAGTGGTTCTTCACGCAACCCTCCTCCCCCGAACCCACCTGCACCTCCGGCTGTTAAAAAAACCCTAAAACTAAATCAGCAGAGACAGCCTGTGTCAGGAGTCCTGTTTGCATTTTATTGTTTAAAACAGTTCTTGACTCCCCAGATGTTGTTGCACTACAAATCCCACCATCCCCAGCCAGCTTAGCCAGTGGTCAGCTCAGGGATGATGGTAGCTGTAGTCTGACAACATCTGGGGACCCAAGATTGTTTTAAACGCAGCTTGAACATTTCTCCATTTCCAAGTTCCTTTGTTGCCTTCTTAGCTTAAGAGGGGAATCCAGGCACAGTAGAAACACTGCTGATTTTACTACAAAGCTGCCAAACTGATTTCTCCTCTGCTCCATTTGAATGAGAACATTGTACAAATTCTGGTAAAGGCATTTTTACATGGTAAATTATGTACCTCTGTATCTCTTGCTTATTTCTTCAACAGCCCTACTAGAAAAATTAACCAATAAACTGAAACTGACACTGGGAGAAACAGAAGAAGATGCCTTTACCCCGGTATGGCTCCCCTTTATCACATACACAGCCCAACAAGACAACGACAATAATCCACCAACAGCATACAAATCAATATGACTAACCTGATCCAAAACACCCACCCACCTCACTCACACACGAAAACAAAGATCACCACAGCCAATCACAAGCAAACAACCACACCCTGGGCCAACCCCAACCTCCCTCTTCACCAAAGGAACACAAGTGAACAGCACAAGCAGCGCTGACACCAAACCCCACATACATTAAGCATAATAGAAACATCGCCACCCGACCCCACCCCCACCCATCTTCCCTCCCTCCACCCCTTCTTCTTTTCCCCCCTCTCCCCCTAATGTCTCAACAAATGAAACAGATTTGTAAAAATGTTACACGGAAAAAATATGAGAGACATTACACTTACTTCTGTAAAACAAGAAAATATTTAATAATAATAAAAAAGAAAACACTTAAAGTGACGTTAATTTATCAGTTGTGCAACGAATGCATCTAAGAAATCAGGATGCATTACAAACATGCACACAGATTTATGACTATGAAGGCTTTTAGAAACAAGGAACCATCATATGAAAACTGACTCCACTGACCGCCTAAAAAAACCTTAAAGCGCGTGAACAGAATTTGTGTCAATATATATAAACCAGCAGTGGGGAACCTGTTGCCCTCCAGTGTTAACTGAGCATTTCCCATCCTTTTAAAATATTTTATTTATGATTTTCAGTTTTATACATTTCAATAATTTTACAGTCATTTTAACATTTCAAAACTTGACTTCCTACTCCCTCTTTCTGCAGTTCCTTAATTTTTTTAAAAATATTTCCTGCATATCCAAATTAACTCAATTTGCTCATTTATTCATCTACTTTAAATATATACTCTTATAGAACTGCAGGTTATTACAAGAATCCTGCCAATGTTCTTATCTGTTTACAGTTTGTAAATATTCAATAAACCATTTCCATTATTTTATAAAAAGTTTGTTATCTTGACTTATTATTTTTTTCGGTTAAGTTTCACCATTTCTGCATATTTCATAAGTTTTTGTATCCATTCTTCTTTGGCTGGGACTTCTTTCCATTTGGGGGCAAGTAACATTATTGCCATTGTAGTCGCATACACGAATAAATTTCTATAAAATTTGGGTAGTTCTTTCCCTATAATTCCCAAAAGGAATGGGCATTCTGGCTGGGGCAATGAGAGTTGGAGTCCAGCATTTAGAAGACATCGGGTTCTCCAACCCCGATTTAAACTCTCTACAGCTGGGGAGGGGAAAGTACGCCCTAGTTACATTCATAGCCCCCTTAGCTGAAATACTTTAACTAGACATGGAAGCTGTGACCTTCTTCATGCTACAGCTCAGCTCATCTACAACCAGTAGAGGCTGGCCATTTTTTCGAGGAAATGGAGTACAGGACTTTCTCACCATCCTCAGCCTGCCCTTAGCCAATCTCTACCTGCCTGCTTTTCCTCCTCAAAACCAGTCCAAGGGTTTGCATGGCCTCTGGAGGGAGGTAATTGGAGACAAAACTAGAATTCCTTGCTCTGTCTGTCATTGGCCAGAGCTCTCCCTGCTGGTGGTTTCACTGCTTTCCGCCTTACTTGTCTCAATGGGCAGCAGCCACCACTAGATTCCCCTGAACTACAAAATGTAAGCTTTCCATTTCTGCATGCAACAGACAAGATGCATCTAAGGGCATGGCTGGGTTATTTAAAGGCACATGACACACATTTACATGAAATGTACACAGGCTAATGCACAAACATCAATGCCACTGGTAGATAAGGAGAGTTGCATAGCTACGGTCAACATTACAGTGCACCCTCCCACTATAAGCAAAGTCCCCCCCCCCCAAAAAAAAGAAAATTTCTAAAAAGAGGGAAAGGGCAGAAATCCGGGATCTCACTGCAAAAGACCCTACGCTTCCCAGGCTAGCCATTAACAACATGTCAAGCAGCCAGAAAACGAGAAACATCCATGATAACTTTTTATTCGCTACAACAAAAATTGCTCTTTTAAAGTTCTTTACACTTATACATCAATATTTCACCCACTGAATCCCAGAAGATGGCTTGCTAGAAAAGGTTGAAAAGCAACACAAGGAATGAAAAAGCTACGAGCTGCAGCCGTTTAGGCTGGAACTGCAGCGCCAGGGGAGAGAAGCCGTTCATCATTCCCTTGATTTAAATTCTGTTTGCGCCACAGTAAGAACATACAGAAACAACTTTTAAATCTGGAAAATAGCAGGAAGGCAAAGGGCTCGGCCCCTGCACAATGGATGTGATCTGAATAACTCCCAAACACACACCAATAGTTGCTATTACCTTTAAAAGAAACTGTAGGAGATTCATCTGATCACATTTACACTGTGTACCCACTGTGTTTGAAGCACATTTTCCCCCTCAAAAAGATTCTGATTCTGAAGATGATATTAATGTTGTTTGGTTTGTACTCACCCATTGTGCTGTGCAGGTGTCTGTAGGAAATGCCGGCACACAGCTTGAAAGTCGCAGGCAGCATCACAGAAGTCTGAAAGAGTTGTGGAGGATCCCGGCTTCCCTGTGTCTCTGAGCGCCTCTGCTGCTGTTTTGCTGGTGTCTCCTCTCCCCTCTGCTCTTAAATAGCCAGTGACGGATGCTGGCTTGTCAGCAGAGAGATAAGAAAAGACATCACTTACAGCAGGCTGGCTGACGCCAAGGCCAAGCCCATCGCCTCATGAGCTTGCGGTGGGGGCAAGCAGGTGGGAGGCGTGGATCTCGCAAGAGGCCAGAGGGCAGGCTGCACAATCCCCAAACCCTTTAAGCTGGTTTTCCTGCATTGAAGGTTGCCAGATGCCTTCCTGGCAGAGTTGCCATGCTTTTTAAGCAGCTCCGTGAACAAGCCAATTACAGCAGCCAAAAGTTTTTCCTTTCTCTCTACTGTCTGAGTATCTTGAGCAAACTTTTTCAGCAGGGGGCCGGTCCACTGTCCCTCAGACCTTGTGGGGGGGGGCAGACTATATTTGGGGGGGGTGAACAAATTCCTATGTCCCACAAATAACCCAGGGATGCATTTTAAATAAAAGCACACGTTCTACTCATATAAAAACACGCTGATTCCTGGACTGTCTGTGGGCTGGATTTAGAAGGCGATTGGGCCGCATCCGGCCTCCAGGCCTTAGGTTGCCTACTCCTGATCTTGAGCTTCTCAGGCAATCGGGCTGGCACAGTGCCCAAAGCAATGCTGGCATCAGAAACAGCAGTAGGGACTGGTGCCCATTGGGACAAGTAAGGCAGAAAGCAAGGAGCCCGAGTGCAGTTGGAGCCAGCGTCAAGTGCAGACGGAGCAGAGCAAGCCTTCAACAGGCAGATCCAACCAATGCTTCTTGAAGATCCATCCTTCTCACTGCTGAGCAAAACGACGATAGGACAATTCCCAGGACTACTTGTAAGTAAGAAGGCAAGCAAGTTGAAGCAACTGAGGTAGCATCCCATTCCAACAGCAGGTTAAATACAGTATTAGCTCGGGTTAAGTACTTAATTTGTTCCGGAGGTCCGTACTTAACCTGAAACTGTTCTTAACCTGAAGCACCACTTTAGCTAATGGGGCCTCCTGCTGCTGCCGCGCCGCCGGAGCACGATTTCTGTTCTTATCCTGAAGCAAAGTTCTTAACTTGAAGCACTATGTCTGGGTTAGCAGAGTCTGTAACCTGAAGCGTATGTAACCTGAAGTGAATGTAACCCAAGGTACCACTGTACTTCTGCTGGAAGTACTGAAGCAGAGACTCTGGGCTTACCCTCACTAACCTTTTGCCTCCCCTCTTTCCAGGCACAGATCTGCGCTTTAAAGTATCTGATGGATTTAATTCTTTCTTTTTATTTTGCCCTGGAGCTTTCCCCATGAAAACCTGCCCTTTAGAGCTCGGTCAGAGCAAATGGCCATTCAGTTTTTCCATGGATTGCCATTTGCTCTGATTCAGCTTTAAAGAGTGGGTTTTCACGGGGATGCACTCTGGCATAAAGCTTTAGAGCTTGGCCTGTGCCTGGAAAGAGTGAGGGAAGGGAAGTGTGGATAAGCCCTCAGCTGGCCAGGTGTCAAGGAAGCGGCGGCAAACATACATGGGAAGCTGCCTTTTACTGAGTCAGAACACTGGGCCCATCTTGGCAGTGTCTCCACTGACTGGCAGCTGCTCTCCAGAGTTTCAAGTAGGGCTCTCTCCCAGCTCCACCTCTACACAAGGAATTGATCCTGGGACCTTCTGCATGCAAGGCAGGTGCTCTTTTGCTAGAGGACCCCAAGTTATTAATAATAATATTATGATAATTTATTATTTATAACCCGCCCATCCAGCTGGGTTTCCCCAGCCACTCTGGGCAGCTCCCAACAAATTAAAAACAAAGTAAAACATCAAACATTAAAAACTTCCCTAAACAGGGCTGCCTTCAGCAAATGTCTTCTAAAAGTCAGATAGTTGTTTATTTCCTTGACATCTGATGGGAGGGCATTCCACAGTGTGGGCGCCACCACTGAGAAGCCCCTGTGCCTGCTTCCCTTTAGTCTCTAAGATTCTACCTGTGGTGTCATAGATGGAGTGTTGAAGGTTGAGTGGGTGAAGCCGAGGGTTCAAATCCCTGCACAGCCATGAAATCCACTGGGTTTTACATGGTCACCAGAGGCTTGGGTCCAAATAAAATGAGATGCTAAGGATACGAAGCACATTTTTCCCTTCAGAGAATTCTAGGTGCTGTTGTTCACTGTGGGTTGCTGGGAATTGTACCTCTGTGACAGATAAACTGCAGAACCTAGAATTCTTTGAGGGAGGGGAATGTCATTTGAATGTGCTTTAAAGGTATTCTTCTTCTTTGGCAATCACTCGTAGCCGAGTAAGATTGTCTTCCATAAACACGGTTTTAACAATGAGTCCGTAAGTGACTGTGAAGGTCAATTCTGGATCCACACATCCTTCCACAGTGGGAACATTGGTTTCCTGGTGGGAGTTGATCATGGTGTGGATTTGCCAAGCATGCCTTCCTCTTAGCACGTTTCTCCCTTGTGTCCTGAGTTCGAGGGTCTTCAAAGCCCATGACACCTTTGGTAAAGGCTGTTGTCCAACTGGAGAGCTCACAGGCCCGTGTTTCCCAGTTGTCAGTGTTTATACTACCTTTTTTTTTTTAGATTTGCCTTGAGGGAGTCTTTAAACCTCTTTTGTTGACCACCAGCATTACGCTTTCCATTTTTAAGTTCAGAATAGAGTAGTTGCTTTGGAAGACGATGATCAGGCATCCGCACAACATGACCAGTCCAATGAAGTTGATGTTTAAGAATCATTGCTTCGACACTGGTGATCTTTGCTTCTTCCAGTACACTGATATTAGTTTGCCTGTCTTCCCAAGTGATGTGTAAAAATTTCTGGAGACACCGTTGATGGAATCTTTCGAGGATTCCATATATTTAAAGGCGTAGTGTATACACAGCCTGTATGTGTCACTTGGAAAATTGGTTTTTTTCTAAAAAGATTAATAGCGGTCATGGGGCCTCCCCTTCTCTGCGTTTCTGACAATAGTTCATACTCCTGATGGGGTCTGCACCTTTCCCCACCCCACCAGGCCTAACAGCTGCTTGGGGGGCTGTCCCTGAGTGCTCGTGTTATGAGAGAGGGAAATGAGCTTTTCTCTGCTGTAAGAAGCTGAGCCAATTTTTGTTGCATAACGTTCAGCCAAGGGCACTGCCACAGGCTGAGAGGTGCTCCAGCTGGGGCTCCAGCTCAAACTGCAACATCAGAGCACCCGAGCTGTGCAGAGCCCCAGTTTATGGCAGGAAGGGGACAATAGAGAGGTCTTAACATGGGGGGGGGCAACCTGGTGCCCTGCAGATGTTGCTGGAATACAAGTCCCATCAGCACCAGTCAGTATGGCCAGTGGTCCAGGATGATGGGAGCTGTAGTCTAGCCATACCTGGAGGCCACAGGATCCCCACTGCTGTCTTAACCAGTAGGGCAGAATAGAGCATTCTTGCTCAAGGGGAAGAGCTTGTCACTATTTTTATTGCAGTTATTTATATACTTTCCCAGTCATTTGTTTTTGTTTTTTAAAGCTGCTTGTCAGCTATATAATTTACAAAGTGGTTTACACGATCCAAAACAAAAGGACAATGTGATGGTGACTGTTGCATGATACATCATTAGAACTGCTGTGCCCATGAATAAGGGTTTGTTTTGGCCCAAAAAACTTCCATTGTGTTCCAGTGGTGACATGTTATAGTCATACAAGCAATGCAAATGTAGCTCACGAATTGCAAAGCAGATGGATGGAGGAATAGAATTACACCACCGTCCTATATGTGCCTACTCAGAAGTGAGTCCTACTGAGTTCAGTGGTGCTTACTCCCAGGTAAGTGGGTATAAGATTACAGCCTTAAACTTGGTGCAGTAAGAAGATAAGAAACTGCCTTTTTCTGAGCCAGACAGTTGGTCCACCCAGCTCAGTATTGTCTGACTGGTAGCATCTCTCCATGTTTTCAGGCAAGGTTCTGCTCTAATCCTACTTGGAGAAACAAGGGATCGAACCTTGGACCTTCTGCATTCAAGGCAGGTCCTCTACCACTGAGCTATGGTGCCATTAGGGCAAGACTTTGGGGCAGACATCCAGAGATCCACTCAGCAGAATGACCAGGAGGGCCCTCAAACAAAGCAGAGTTGACTGGACACATTTTGCATTTAACCACATTGGGAGCCTTTTTTTGCGAGAATATTCTGCAACATGTCATTGATGCAGTAACATCGCATTAGTTGCCCATCCACAAATTGTTTAGTTGAGCTGCAATGTTCCCCCATGGTCATTGCACAACTGCCTCTGGAGGAGCTCTTTTGCACTACAGTGCAACAAAAGCAGGACAAAAAAACCAAAACCCTAACTTGGACCATTTGGGGTATAAACAACTACAGTATAGTATTTCAGAGGGAAGTTAACTGACTGGAAATGAAGCAGTATGTCTTCCCTTAAACTTTTGCAAGTGCAATCATGGTTGAATATAGGATTGCAAATAGGCTCCTTCATTCCATCATGAGGACAAATCATCATGAATGCACCATAAAAGGACATCTTGAGAGTCCCATTACCATCCAAAGAGGGAAGGGGGCCCATAAGACTATCATTTCACAGTGGCATATTCAGTCTGTGCAATCAAAGTTGATCTAGGCAGCCTTGTGCAGCAAACCTTATTTCTTCTGTCTCAAAAGCCCCTTCCTTTTTTGCAGCAAGGAAAGTGACGGGGAAATGCACTGGAAAGTGTGGAATAACAACTGCTTGATGCAACGTTGTATAACCTTTCCGCAAACAATTCAGTATGAATGCTGAATAAATAGCCAGTGTTGTTTAATTGGTCCACAAACTTTATGCCATCACATCAGGATGAATTCTCAATCAAACAGATCAGCTGGAAGCAAACTGGCTGCCCCTATGTCTTGACGTGCTTTCTTGTCTGGTATGCTACAAACTTTTCAATGGCTTGCATGGGTGATACTACGATGCACACACTCTTCCTTGTGTTGTTTTGCTTTTTCAAAGTAAATATCTGCCCACAAAGAGGATAGAGTGGTAAATGTGTCAGATACATTGCACCAGCTTGTTATAATGTTCCCATTTGCGTTTGTTTCTG